GAGCGAATTGGAGAAAATAATGAAATAATCAGTCAGGAATTCGGGCCTCCGGATTTCCGTTTTTGCCATCCACGACCCAACCCAGTTACCATCCGTTACCCAGATACTAATACTGGTTATACAGATGATAAATAAATAACGAAACAAAAAAAGATAGAAAATCAACAAAAAATAAAATGGACACAAACAAATATATATTTTTATTAAACAATTTTCTCATATAACGTATTAGCGCTTTACAGAAGGGTTTTGATATTAATAATATAGTATAGCTAACTTAGAGTAAGACTTAGTAAGGGAGACCCCCTCCCTTTGGAGTTCTCAATTTCAATTTTCGTATTATGTGGTTGGGGTGATTTCGAGGAATGGTTGGATGAGTTTGGAGGAGTGATTAGGAGATAATATCATTACGTTAGAAAAGGAAATGAGTCATTAAGGTAGTCTGAATTTATCCTTGGGAATCTGGAATGAATCCTCCTTTAGGCGGAGTATTTCCCACGTCGAAACTTCCTTGCGGCTGAAAAAGACAGTTAGGTTCGGAAAAATGTTTTGGAAAATGTGGAAATGAATTGGGCTATTGTGAATGGTTCAAATTCTCTAGATGATTGTTTATTAAAAACAAACCAATGAAATTTTACGTAATACAAAGTATTTTGTTCTGAAAAGTTTGAAGTGTTTTTATTACAGGAGGGTAGAACCTCACATAATAAATAAAATAAAAAAATCTATCCTTATAAAATGTCAGTCTAAATAAAGTTTTGAAATTATAATCCCTTTGCCAGTAAGTTTTGTATTCCGATACATCTTGGCATAGTACTACACAATACTGTCGTTGCAGAAATCCACAAATAACTAATTATACGTAACGTTTGAAAACAACATCCTGCCAACGTCGGCTCTCGAAGCCAGAACCTCCCAGCCGACGACTCGCAACTACAAAGGTAAACGCACCGAATGCTTTCACGGCCAAAGTTCAAGTAAAGCGCTTCGCTTCGGACTACCTGAGCGCATCCAACCACACGGCGAGGTTGGTTGGCGGCCACGGTGCGGGCAATGTCGTCCTCACCTTCACCCTCGCCCTCTTCCTCTCCCTGTCCCTCTCCCTTTCCCTGTTCCTCTCCCTCTCTCTCGCCCTCTCCCTCGCCCTCTCCCTCGCCCTCTCCCTCGCCCTCTCCCTCGTCCTCTTCCTCTCCCTGTCCCTCTCTCTCGCCCTCTCCCTCGCCCCCACCCGCGCCCCTGTCATCGCCCTCGCCATCGTCATCGCTCCGGCCCCACCCTCGCCACTGGCCTCGCCCCCGCCCTGCACTCTCCCTCGTTCCCGACCTCAACCTGCCCTCATCCCCAGCTAATCCCCCAGCCACGCCCGCGTCCACGCCCTCGCCCACTCCCTCGTTCCCACCCTCATCCCGGTCCTCGCCCACGCCGTCATCGCCCTGTCCTCGCCATCGCTCTCGCCCGCGCCTTCACTCCCACTCCACCCGGTCCTCACCATCACCCTCGGCCTGGCCTGCGCCCCCGTCCTCACTCCCCTCCCCCGCCTTCACCCTCGCCATTGCCCTCACTCGCGTCACCGCCCCCGACGTCGCGCCGGCGAGGCGGCGCGGTGCGGCGCGGCGCCCCCGAAGAGCCACTTCTCAAGCCGGGGCGCGTAATTGCCGGAGAGCGGCGGGGCAGCGCCTCGAGCGCACTTCGCCCTCGGCCACGCCCCCTTCCTCGCCCCGCGGCCCCTAGACTCTTCCGCGACGCCTCCGTCGGCCGCGACACGAGCGCCGCCTGCGTCGCCTCCTTGCGGCGCGTACTGTCGCAAGCATCACTCAGGCGACTTGAAGCGGAGTGAGCATGAGTTACAGACATTATTCCGCACTCCAGCAACCTCCGGGGTACTCTGTTACTTTCTGTTTCAGTTTCTTCCAAGTATATCATGTTTATCCCATAAATTGCTGAGATAAAACAACAGATTCAAACTAGTTCGCCTTAGTTTCCTCTGCCTCTCATTGTGTCACTAAATCTTCATGATTATTATCACAGATTTTTTCTTTATTATTACTCATCACATTATTTGGCATCATCACGTCCCAATGCTCACGTCGTATCAGACATGCCCACGGCCTCTTTGGCATCCTGTTAACTGAACGAATAATATTGTGTCCGGCAACTCTAGCCATTTAAAAAAATAAAGTAAATATAAAAATGAATGTACGTTCATGTGTCATTTAAAACGTTTCAACAAATAAATTCGATAATTTTAACTTAGGATACTTGAACATACTATTACTTTCATCTAGAAATTCCTAACAGCTTTTGAGTTCGCACCATTCAGCAACTTTCTTTGGGTTTGTTCCGCCACAAGCAACTGTTTTCTACATCGCTGCGAAGAAAAAACATCGCGTTGTAGTGTTGTGAGCTGTCATAAAGGAACATATACGTCTGGCCTTGTAATCAAGAGCAACAATAACATGGAAGATGGAAGGCTTCACAACTTCAGAATCTCTTCATCTATATATAATAACACTCACGACAATTCATCACACACGCCTGAGTCACGCCATAATCCATGAAAACTACCAAGAAGCACAAGGAGTCGCAAAAAATATGTTGCATTGTCAACGCCAATGCCTTTTCAACCAACAAGTTCTTCTGTTTAGTACCGTTAACGAACCACACTAACAGCAAGTCAACGGATTTAGACGACCTTCCTGGCGTTCAGAACCGGAGATAAACCCCAACAATTATTAAACTTAGTTATAACTTAACGTCTACGTACCACCGTAAAGTTATAGCGTTGATTTAGAGAAAAATATAAAGCCATCTTAAAGTTAGAGCGTTGGTATAGAGAAAAATATACACAATATTTGCGTTGACTCTTAAGCAGTGGCATACGCGCAAGACTACTTTGGAGCTAAAAACCATTTTTTTACAATGAAACATTCTTGAAATTATGTTTGAAACAAAAATATTTAGTTAACAGAATTTTATTATTTTTCATGTTGCGAGGACTAAAAATAAAAATTAATAATGGAAGTGAATAATCACGGTTCTCCACAAACTCATCAGTAACGGTTGTTCCGCCGTGCCAACGTGTTCGAAAAAATTGACATGCTTTCTGATAAATTTTACAATTGAATAATCATTGTTCTTTATTATTCCGCTAATGAACTCTATGACTTCCCGGCGAGGCATACAATTAATGAAGGAATACTTACCCAAATCGTCCTTGTTTGCATTGAAATCGTCCTTGTTCGCGTACGGATGGGAAGGAAAAGTAAGATCGCATGGGGTCAGTGACCAGTTCTTTCGGGTTCTCGGGCATATGACAGGAAGTGATAACGGAAACAACTGATCAAAGCAGTCGAACTACGGATATAATTCCTGATGAAACTCACTTATGTTCAAAATATCAAGCATATTTCTGGCACTTTGCCGCGAAATGCAAATCGGTGTGCTCGAACTTAACCTTGTATTAATTCCCGCGTTGTAATAATACGTACATACACGAACTAATGACTAAAATAACTACGGATTTCAACGATGAATAAGATCTACATATTTTTTGACATTTACTCTCGGATAGCTCAAATGGCTTCGGTTCGATTGCCGGTCGGAGCAAAAATAGAGCTGTAGATGTCCAATACGATCGTCACAGTTTCTATAGCTGTGTGACGAAAGAAAAGTTCAGACAGGCCAAGTGTGCTAGATGCGGTAAAGGGAACCCGTCATGTTCCTTAACCCCGGGTGTGGATTATAAATAAAAGCAGGCCTAGGCATGGGACCACCACTAACTGACAAAACTCGGATTAATCCAACCCTAAAATGCTAAATACACTACTGGATACATTGCATCGCCTGTGAAATTTTCATTTTATTGTGGTTATTTCCATATAATTACAAGTCATGAGTTTAAATCTATTACAAACGAACCATATTAAGTGGTGAACACATTGTATAATGAAAATATTTCATTTTAAAACATTTTAAATGCATATTCGTGTCAGAATTCTCTTGTTTCGCTTTAGTTTCTCTCTTACGTCCTTTTCCCTGTCTTTTGACAATAGATCCGGTTTCCCGGTGGTTCTTCAATAGCCTGCTCACTGTAGATTGGTTAAAATCTATTTTCTTAGTTATAAATCTTGTAGACTTTCCCTCAGAACCTTGAGCAATAATGTCACTATTCTTCCTAGGAGTTAATTCATCACTGTTTCCCATTTTGTGTAACTACTCACTACACGCCTCTGGAATCAACGGGGCAAACAATGAGCTTGAACTCAATTTACAAATTATTTCCCAACGTGACACTCCTTTCTTAAACACAACTACACAACCATGGATGCCACTGTGGGGAGAAAAGAAAATTTACCTAGGCAGTTACAACCAGATTGCAGATAACAGTGTTTCTGAAAATCAAGTGATGCAATATTTCCCCAGTATTTTACATATATTTCATCGTTTTCGATAGATTTGACAATAACTTACTAACACATGTAATCGTCGGGTAAACAAAAAACGATAAATGCAAATCTTTAATATTCCGCTCATTTTTAGCAGACACTCATTCATGAATATTAAATACAGAACATAATAGAAGTAAAAGAAATACATTGTTGACATATGCGACTAGTCACCAGTTCTATCGCCTGCATTTAGCCGATATTTTATTTTGATTTGAATCTTGACAATGCTTTTGTTATTTAATCAAACGGTAAGTTGCCTTGTTCACGTTTATGGTGTATACCATAAAATCATCGACCCTGAAATAAATGGATATTTGTTTTTCCATTATTAGTGGATTTATATCACTAAAGGAAAAATTAGAACCATCACAATAGTATGTGAAACGCAAACAAAACATTATGCAATAGTGTATGTAAGAAATTATCGGAAAAATATACTTGTGATCCAGAGCTGAAGAAAAATAGAGAGCGATAAATCCGTTGAGAAAACTAACAATAGAATCGCGCCATGCAGTGTGACGCAGTCGCAAAACGCCCGTGGCTTCGCGGGAGATGCTCGTCGCCGGCGGACTCCGCATGTACCAGGAGCGGGGCGGGGTGAGGCACCGCGGAGGGGGTGCGGAGAGGCAATGGGCGAGGCGGGGCGCGGCGTTGCCGCAAAGGCTGTGCCGCGAGGCGAAGGGTCGGTCAGAGGTGAAGGGCCAGTGGCCGCGGCCACCACATTCGCTGCGCGCGCGGCACCTTCGCCACCTAGCCCTCCACCCCCACCATCCGCTCTCCTCTCTCTCCTCCCCCCCTTCGCCAACCCCCACTTCGCCCCCGTCGCGCCCGCGAATGGGAGATAGCCGTGTCGGGCGCGGCACGCGGGGCGGCATAGGCCGCAATAACGCCTTGGGCGCGGTCGCCACGTCGTGCCCCGCCCCGCCCGCCCCGCCGCCCCGCCGCCGCGCCCCCGCCCCGCCCGCCCAGCCGCACGCCACGCCTCGCTTTCCCCTGTCCCGCTCCGCGTCGCACAGTGGTATGAAAAAACGACTTGCACACGCGTATAAGACGTGCAGGTCGCGAATATTTAAAACACATTGTCAATGAACTGGGTTATATATTTGTATGTCAATGCGTTTTAAATTCTAATTTGAAGATATTTCCTTAAACATTCACAATTTAGAGTGGCGTGACCATGGTGTGTCGGGAAGCTAGTTGTCTGTAGGATCGATAGTGGATTTCCAACGCTCGTATAGGCTTTTCTTGGTCAGTGACGGATAGTCTGTATTGGACGAGGATGAGTCCATCGCTCAGTCCAAAATATGGGAAAAAATATCCCGCTCTGTCTATCGCTCGTTGAATAGGGTACTGCTTTGACATCATCTAGGCAGGAATGAGGAAAATTATGGAAATCAAATAATGTATTTGGTGCCTTTGAAAATTTTAGCATATTAGTGTTGTAGCTAACTATACTATTTTGTATTCATGGTTAATATAAAATATCTATTTGAAAATCTTCATTAAGTGATTATCATCTATAACATCATCAGTTAGTAGGGCATAACGGCTTTTACGACAAAATTACTCGTCCGGTAATTCAAGAAGTTTTTGTAATCAATTTTTGATGGATGTAACCTCCACTGTAGAAGCGAGTGACAATACTTAGTGATTTTATTTCTTGGGTAGGCCAATTTGTAAAATGATCAACTGTAGAACGACGGTTGCCTCCCATATCTCTGAGTTTCTATGTATTATGCACTACTGTTTCATCTTATTCCTTTCTTAAACAGGAATGGTTGAGTTCAGTTGTATTGGATGCTTCAAGTACGTTCACGAGAGTTACCAGCAGCGTTTTAATATAGATGTGTGTTGGTTTGGTGAAGAAAAGGCGAAATGCGATGTCTGATTGGCTCAAGCCAGTGTATACAGCTGGGAAGGACATGATGTAGTTCATCCGGGAGTAGAGACTGTTATACTACGTAAACGTTTAAGCAAACTGGGTGAATGGGCATTTTCTTTATATACGTAGTAGTACTCAACAAAATATACAAAATGTATGTACGACGATTCTGTAGTTTATAACCATGGAGGAGTGCTATCTGGAAGAAATAAGAAACGGCATTCTGTAAGAGACCACGTGCTGCTCCAGCGCGGCAATACCACATTCCTTCAGACTCAACTGTTTATGGAATTAATTTATTTTATACGTATAGAGTCACATATTTATAATTCAAGCATCTTTATTTACTATTTTAAATGTCAGATCTATATCGTACCGTATTAATATAATATAGTATATCATTCAAAATATTTTGAAACCATTCAACTTAAATAGTAAATGTTTTTAATTTTTTGTTGTTATTATAATATCACGTTTACTGCAAAATAGTTATTTTGATCATTGATCCATTTATATTATTCGATTAATTGATAAACGTTTATCGGAAGAAAAGAGGTAAGACGTTTCTGTAAACTCATTGAGCCCCACTCCTGTTATCTTCAGGTCACTTCCCCTCTCTTCCCCGCTTTTCCTCCTTGAAACACAGAAATGGCAAGGTAGTAGCAGCTGGGAATTGGGAGCGAATGGAGTGAACGTATTTCGGTTCGTCGCGTTTCACGATGGACTGTGGGTAGGGGGCGGGCGTGTAGTGATCTGTGCACCGAGAATGGTTGACATCGCGACGGTCGGTAATAGTTTAACATAACAATCAGTGAAATTTTTAGAGAGGATTCAACAAAAATTACAGTTACTGGAAGTTAGGCGAAGGTTCTGAAAATGGAGATGGCCTCGTTAACGGCGCTGCGGGCATCGGCGTGAATACAACATTTGTAAGTACTATTGATTTACATTATTGGAATTGAGTTGGAGTCTGGCTGTCTCAGACTCTCAATTTGGAATAATAATGTTGAAAATAATAGTAAATTAAGAATATAATTAGTGTATATTAAAAGTAATTATGATGGCGCTACTAGAAGATTCTGTTCTTTCACGCTGATGGTGTATGCAGGAGGAGTATTACGCAAAACCAAATGGTCTTATTTTCTGATGATCCGTATACATGCAATAATTTTATTTTTCTAGCTGTCGCAATCTACAAAACCAATTGCGTCACCTGTAAGATAGGTTGCAGAGACTTACCACAAGGTAGCAATCTATTTGCTGCATTATACATAATTGAAGCATTAAGATATACATTTTACTAGACATAGACACGACCGAAATGTTATACATTTAAAGTAAATTGCATTATAAAACCAAATACAGCAGTAAAAAATCAAATGTTTAAAGTGCTAAAACCATCGAACCAGCATATTTTCCAACGCATGATATAACTTTTAAAAACTCTGAGATTAATAAGTTTAATGTTATTTATTTTTAAATTATTTGAATTTTCTTCCTTATAAACAAGAATATACATTATAAATATTATATAAACAATTGATGGGCTGATTAGAACAAGTGGCTATCCCACACTTACCTAGCACTGAGATGGTTCAAGGTTTTACTAGAATTTTCATAATATAAACTGAGTTCAATTTAAAACTTTTAAACACATAATACTTGCTAATCAGATCATTTTGGTTAACACAGTATAAACTAAAACCAATGTATTTGCAGTTAAATTTTTTGGTTGCAATCAGGGCTCCGACTACGATGACCTAAAAAATCTTCGTAATTTACCCCTTAAAATGGAGGAAAATGATCTGTAGACCAATTGTTTAAAAAATATTCAAATATGAGTACGAAACTTTATCTTTATGTAATAAATTTTACACTTTTAAATAAAATTTAAATATATAAACTTATCTTTAGTATAATGTCTTTATTTTAGGAGGAAATTTAATCCTTAGCTCCGATCTCTCAACCGTCAATTTCAAAAGGTAGAGCAAGTTACCGAAAATTCGTGTAATTCTGAGAGTTGAAAAACAGAGTTCATCGCAGTAGTGAATTTTGTCATGAACTGATGATACAATAAAAAGTTTTAATGTGTCATTGTAAATTCGCGAAACATTCACTAACAAAAACACAAAAAGGGAAACGAAATTAGTACAAATTACATACATGACGCAAAGGTCAAAACAGTTACCTACAAATTGAAAAAAACGGCAAAAAATGACTCAATAGCAACACATTTTTATCACCTAGTATAGGTCATGATAAACATTCATTTACAAGTTAGCTTCGTGTAGAATGCACCAATGAAAAAAATGACATGTCAACAGAATCCGAGCCCTGCTAATGACTCAATTTTACAAGAAAAAAGGTGGTAAACCTTTTTCTTCCACTGATGGTTGATCAAATTATTGCCTGCCGTGGGCGCCCTTGCAGCCTGTTCGCTCAGTGTGGCCACCTGGTGGTCTGGCTCAGATCCCTAGGCGTGGCGTGGAGGCGACTGTGATGCAGTTGTGGGGGGGGGGGGAGACTGCGCCTTGCACGCCCTCGTGTGTGCCGCGCCGCGCCGCGCGTGCCCCTGTCGCTCGCGCGCTGTACTCAAGATGCTTCTTTTTTAACAACTCCTCTCCGGCACTTGCTCCTTTTGCCTTCGCCGTCTTTTTCTTCCCGTGCGTCGTTTTCACATACTGCGTTGTTTTTTCTTTGTGAGAATTTTTTTCTTCTGGGATGTTTTCTTCGTTCTTTTGTCTTTTCCTGTGAACCTTTGTCTTCTTACTCCCTACCTTCACATTTATCCCCGTGGTCGTATTCTCTGTAACAGTAATTTATTTATCAGTCGTTATCAGCAACCTTCCTATTTCGCTTCGTCATTATTAATTTTTTTATCATTATTTTCCTTTATTCCGATCATTTTTCTCCATTTTCGGTATTTACACTTATTGTGTGTTATTTCATCATGTAGTCTTATATTTAACTTTGGCTAAATCCCCAAAATGGCTCATATCCTATTTTAATAAAAACTCTGAAATTTTGAAAATTGGAAAACTTTTAAAATTTCTTGAACCATCTCGTACAACTATTAAATTATTGAATATAAATATTTTTATAATGAAATCTTTTATTAAAAATTATATCATTTCATAATTCAAAATTTAAAAAAAAGTGTTGTTATGTAATATAATATATAATAGCAGTAATTTTTTAAATAGTGCTACCTCCGCAATATTCTGAGTATCAAACACAAAAGGTGTAATACAGTTAAGGAAACAAAACACACAATTTTAATATTATACTAAGGAAAATATTGTTATTGTAAATTATAGTACAGATGTGTTTTAGAAACACACTTTATAGAAAATGCAGACTGTTTTGATATAAACCACGAATGCACTAAACCATGACATATATAATGGACAAAAGTAAATCTTAGGAAAGTAAGTACCACCGAATGAATCGGTGACATTTTCTTAATGACACTGCAGTGAAGCGTCTGGAGAAATTTACGAGGGCAGCTACTCTCCCCAGAATTAAGAAATTAAATTGCGTTTCTTTATTTCTTTCAGAAGTTTTTATGAGCCATGGAGCAGCTTAGGGTGCTAATGTAAATGACGGTCTAAGGCTTCGTTCGGACCAGAGGGAAAGATGCACTGAAAAGCGGGCTTCGTGCACAGCATGCAAACGCCTCCAAGTGTGCCATTCTAGACATCTAAAGGCTTTTGAAATTACGGAGCTTGAACTACTTTACTCTAAACATGTTCAATGAAAAAGAAGTTTATTTAGAAATACAAAACAAACGATTTGTGAGGTTCAATAATTATCGTGGCTATTTGCAGGTGCTGATTCTTTTATTGTAACGTGGTATTATTTGCATTATTCTATAATATTCGATATTATTCGAGTATTTTTGAAACAATATCTGTCGGGAGCTGACTGAGGAGGCAGTGAGCTGGCGATATGGCTCGGATGAGCTCTCAGCCAGCTCTTTTCAACTTACCTTGGTAGCATTGTTATCAATTCGGAGGACCACCACGTATAATGCAACGCGGACGCGACGCATTCATTGGCAATGGTAGTAACTACAGAGGATTTGAGAGATTTCAGTAGACATGTACTCATTGGAGAACAACAACATACAATTAAAA